CTCCCTCTCCGTCTGTCTGTGCGTGTCTGCCTGCCTCTCATTCTGCCTCTGTGCTTCTCCCTCTCTGCCTTGTCTTTCTGTTTGTCTCCTCATCTCTCTCTGGTACATAGCTTACCACTGGTTTTTCAAGGCTGATCGCGTTTGCCACTGGCTGTAGCTTGTGCCCACCGTTACACAAGATAGAGCGACAATTTGCCAACCATGTCTTGACCTCGTAGGCCATTCTCGTAGCCGGTTTCAAGGTGCCTACATACCTCTCGTCTTGATTTTGTGGCACTCTTTGCGGAAGTCGACACAGTGGAAGACACGGGCCTACGTGAGAGGGAGGGTACACGTACGCCACTGGACTACGTACGCCAGCTATTTCTTTGCCTTCACCTTCACCTTTCCTTTCACACAAGAATGAGAAGCCTCACCTGACAGATACCCGGAGTTTCCAACAACGCCGTGCAAAAAGTCCCGCGTTCGGCCTTGTCGCCCGGTGCCCCAATCATGCCCCAATGCCCAATGTTTCCCCCACAGCCCTCAAGAACACGAGACAGGCAAAGTCCATGTAAGCCCTGTTTGAGAGAGCCACCGCAGCCGCACACGGCCGAACGGTTTTCGATAGGGCTGCCTCTGCGTTGTCCTGCGTGACCTTTCTTCACGAGCGTTTGCCGTTGTTTTGTGCTTGTGGTTGCAACAGGAGTGGAGAGCGAAGGGGTTGGAAGTTTACGGTATCGCGGTCGATGTGACCACAGCGGAAGGGCGGCAGGAGTTGTACAGTGCGGTGCGTTCGTGTTTGCGTGTGTGTCAAAGTCATCACCCCGTATTTTGTTCGGCCTTCACACTGTTCGGTATGCTCTAGGGCAAACCAGTCGGAGGAAGGCCACGCAGGAGGCCTTTTTTCTTGTCCTTCCCAATGTGGTGCATTGCTTTGGCCGGGCTTCCTTGCCTTTACTTACACCTCATCCCCGCCTGGCCTATATGAGAGCTTGAAGTGTAAAGTAGACTTGTTTGATACTCAAATTTACATCTACTTGAAGGCGTGCTCATGCGAAAGCAAATGGGCCCCGAGTAATGTTACTTAAGCACCTCCGGAGACATACATCTACTTCCGTGTATTTTTTTCCTCTCTCTCTTTGACTCTTGCCGTTAAGGCAGAAGAGCGCTTCGACGGTGCTCTGGACATCCTCGTCAATAACGTCGGGAGGAGCATTCGCAAGAGCAGCACCTTCGACTACACGCCGGAAGAGTTCGAGACCATCATCGACACCAACTTCAGCACGGTCTTGTCGCTGACAAAGGCGAGGCTTTACGTGTTTACCCTCATCTGTCTAGGCAGATTTGCTTCGTTGATACCTTGCTCGGTCTTTGTTAGTTGTAGGACTCGACCAAGCGCAACCGATTCTGACGCTCCCATCACGGTTGTGTCATGACGTCGTGCTTCTGTGTAATGTCTTGCAGCTTTTTCATCCTTTGCTGAAGGCGGCGGCAGCGGCCGAGGGAGCGCGGGCCAAAGGAGGATCGTCAGTGGTGAACATTTCCAGCATCGCCGGCGTCATCGCGGTCAAGACAGGTACAGGAATCTATATAATAACCTTGCCGTGTCTGTTGCGCTAAGCATGACATCTTGTGCGTCTTTGTCTAAGTGAGGTCGTTCTCTTGGCACGCACGATTTAGTGATGGCGTGACGGTAGCCCTTGGGAGAGACTCGTGTGTCACAGGTGATGCATCTCTCGTGCGTTCGGCGCTCATCCTGGCCTACCATTTTATTTTTCGCCGACTTTGCAGGCGCAGCCTACGCTGCAAGCAAGGCTGCGATAAACCGGTTAACGATCAACTGGGGGTGCGAGTGGGCTAAGGACGGGATCAGAGTCAACGCCGTTGCCCCAGGGGCAACAAACACGCCTTCCACGGAGTCGGTACCCAGGTGATATTTTCTTAACATTACACAACAAATCCATCTCTATCCATCGATAAAGGTCTACCAAAGGATAAGTAGGATAAATAAGCGACGAATTCGTAGCGTTAACGGAGCACCGCCTATGCCGGAAGCAGCGCATTTGCATTTTTTTGTGCTCCCTCATTACGCCGGCATCTGATCAAAGCTCTTGAGAGACACGGATATGTGTAAAGAGTGCGGGCCGAGAAGACTTGGTTTGCTCCGCCTTTAGGCGTGTGGTCCCTACCGCCGCAGTCAAAGCAGCTGCTGCCGCCGTTGCCGCGGCTGGCGGCGTGGTCATCGATCATTGTCCGCGCGGTCGCATGACCCGCAAGGAAGGTACACTTTGATCGAGTAATCTGCATGAGCCCACCCACCAAAGGTTCCTAAAACAACTACTAAATCGCAATCCCCGGCTCTTGTTCTCCTTTTAACGAATGTTGATAGATAGCGATATTTCCTGCTTTTCCTCCGACGACATAATATGGTATTTTCCGTGGAGGAAGTCATGCCCACCCGTCGAGGCCCTTCTAAGTTCATGTGGCCTTGCGCTTTGGACCAGTTCGCGCATTGGCAGCCATTTCGTTGTTTTGCGGAGAAGGCCCATGGGATGTTTGGCCGTGGACGTGAATTTTCCGGACAATCTGTTGCTGGACACCTGGTCTTGATCGAAATTCACGCTTTATCTTCAGCCATTTGATGACACTCTCTATTCTCGTCTGAACATTTTGACCTTCACGCCAATGGTAACCCCGCACCGCAATCATTTCTCGGCTTACCCTTACTCTCACGTTGTTCCCAACGCTTAGGAGTACGGAGCTTATGGACCGGATTCCTATGGGTCGATGGGCTGAGCCCCACGAAATCAGTGGCCAGGTCGCTTTCCTCTGCATGAAGGGCGCGAGCTACATCACGTCTCAGGTCATCTGTGTCGACGGCGGCTGGGCGAGCAACGGATGGATGTGAAACTCGATCGGGTCTGCTGGAGTCCGCCTTCTTTTTCGCCGCGTGATCCTAGAGATGGTGGAGAAATAGTATATGGCAGAAAAAAAGATGCCGCCGTTCGTATCCACCCGCCGGTCTTGACTTCTCAACTGAGGAACCACAACGCAGGGTCACGCCGAATCTTTGCTCCTTTGCCGTGTGTTGCAAAAACGGTTCAGCAACAAACCAATCCTCTCCCTGTTGAATCAACGATCAGGTCGAGCATCCATCGTGTACACACGAACGAGCAAGCACTCAACTGACCAATTTGGCACCAGAATTTTGTCACCCGACTTTAATGACTGGAGATTGTTGGTTTCCGAGAACGTCTACTAGTGGCTGTTCGCCGCTTGCGATCCCCCACCCGTGTCCACGCTTCCCTCCCAACCCTGCCTAGAAAGGCTCGGCGTTTCTTACTATGAGAGACAGGCGGATATGGCTCACATTGGCAACGCAGCTTGCCTCGGACAACCTTGACCGGCTCTCTAAGAGAGTTCTCATAGTCATTTTTTAGGTGCTGTGTCATCGTCATGACACGGGGCGCGTTTGTCATGCATGCGGTAAGCAAAGACAGACACTCATTACGTAGTCTGGTCAGTCTGACGTAAAGAGCGCAGGCGAGAAAAAAACACACACAACCGATAATCCTTGCGTGCAAAAGGAAAGAACGGTGCTTTGAGAGATAGGCGGTTATTGGTTACGTCCTAGTCACTTACAACACACCGCAACAAAGGGGGTGGATGTAGATGGCAGAATGCAAGCACGGCCCATGAGCCTTCCGCGCTTCGCACGTCAAGAGAGTGAATGGTTTCCGGATGTTTGGGGCAACCAACAACGACCTCAACAGGCCCAGTACTCTTCCACATTGTAACGAGATTATTATCGAGGGTGCAGAGGTTAGCCACAAAACTAGCCCGCCCAGAGGGACCGTCTACGCAGATGCTCTGAAAAACTTGAAACAAACTCCACGAAGTGGGAATCGAGAATATCACGAATGTCCGCAGTCATCCCCCGCATTTCGTGATAATGGTCAACATGTCCAATGTATGTATATATAGACAAGCTACGAACTAAAAATAGGCAAGGACCAACTAACCAAAAACAAAAAGCCAGATGACTCCATACCACCTCCACACATGCCCTGAAAAACCAGGCGGAGAACGACAGAAAACCTCCGTAACGGGCGGGATGGCATGTTTTTCCGTTCATCGCTCGACCCTCCACGCTGATAAAACAAAGACCTAGAGACTCACTGAAAAACTAACATCCAGCGAGGCAGCACAGAGGATCATGCCAGCCACAAGCTCGAGAGCAAAACATAACGGCAAAAACAAACATCACCGCCTCCGGGGTCGTCTAGCGCGCGCGCCTGAATAACCGAAATCCAAGGACCCCCTGAAACAAAAACAAAACTTCCAAACCGAAATGCGCTGACCGAGTCACAAAAATTCACCGCCCAACTCGCTAGACAGAACAACGCGGCGAAGTGCAAACAAAACAGAGGGTCGGACAGGCGCCGGAGGCCTGCGAAGAAATCGAATCTGCACAGAAGCGTCCCCGAGCGCCGCAGTTCCGCGGGAAGTCTCGGTGTTATGAAAGTACGGACATAGCTACTTTACGACGTATCCTAACCCACCTTTCCTTTCAAATAAGGGCCCTGACGTTGACCCTACACGAATAAAAGAAGTTCCCGCTCGACTGATGCGGGTGCACAACATCGACTCAACCCGGTCGCTTATCATCCACAACACCCCGCAAGGGACGAGCAATGAGCCTAGTCCCTCCAGCCCTTTGCCTCCATGTCCTCCAAGATGGCGCTGAAAGTGGTGCGTTGCTCGGGTTCCCCACCCCAACAGGCCTTGGCGATGTCCACGATGTCGGCAGGAGTGCCTGCCTGGAACAATGGCCGTTTCCCCCCGCTGATCCGCAGACAATATTTCGCGAGGACGCGTCTTGTTCGCTCACGGTAGCTTCCTTGAGAACACCTCCCAGATCACGATCCCGAAGCTGTAGACGTCGCTTGCAAAGGAGCTTCCTTCTTCCTCTAGCACATGCGGATGTACGGTGCCATCCCCCAGTTGGCACCAGCGCGGGGTTGGAACCAAAGAAGACCAAACTTCCCTTTAGTGCCTAATTACTAACTTAGTAAGAGATACTGGCTACTGTAGATGCAACCCACGACCTCAAGTAAATTTGGGTTGAATATCTATCGTAAAACCACGCAAAGACGTACACCCGTAGCCAATCGGCTACCCCAGGGATCCGGGGAAGAACCTCATACAGGGTACCAGATTTTGCACCCATACAGGGTGCCATTTGGCAAGGTATCCCCAGGGTTACAACCTTGACAAGGTGTCGCTTAGGTTATCACCTTGACAGGGCCGGGGTGTCCTGGTACCTTGCCAGGGCAAGGCCTACCAACCATGGCAGGGTGAGGCCGGCTGTGCACCTTGGGGGGGGTGGTTTTTCGAAACGGTTTCATTTTCTCTGTTTCCTACGGTTACAGTGACTCCCGTAGCACCGGCTACATGCTTGATACGCAAACAGGAAACACGAAGGATGACAAAGTACACGCCAGAGTATAGACCGACAGGAACAGCCGGCGCTAGTATCAAATCCATGACACACCGATCCATCTGTCCGAAGACTCTCCCTCATTCAACGCATCTCGACCCTCCGTACACAAAACAGCGAAGAGTACCTAGTGATACAATGCCCTCTCCGTTTCGCATATGTATGACGCGCACAACACTAGGCTATTCGAGAGCTACGCGAGACATGCATCAAAGGTATACAGGAAACGAAAAAAGCATAATCCGACACTCGCTCCGGGACGTGACGCCATAAGAAACGACGTGGACTGTGGACGCATTCAACGACCCCCATTGGAGAGAAGCAAAAACATAAAAACAAAGACCGCAAACGCTGTGTGTGGAATGCGCCAAGCGCCACCCCACCAGCATATTTTACTCGACCAATGGTATCATCACATCATCATGATCACCAAGGTACAAACTGATGTCATCTAACAAGAATACTGCAGACATGTACCCGCCCCAGAGATTCACCTAGGTATCAAGAACAAGCCCCCCCACGAAGCCGGCGAAGGCTCCCGCCGTCGATCACGGACAGACGCGAAAAAAGACCGCGCCACCAACCGCCTACTGCACTAAAATGCAGAAGTGGATCATACAGGGAAAAAAAAAGCAACAAACAAACGCTGCCGTGTTGACCAACCAGGCGACAGCGCAACAGCCTACATCCTGAGCAACATGCATCATTCACCATCACCACGAACGTTGCGCAGGTCTCCATTGCGCGATGTGATACGCCGCCGGTGCATAAAAGAAATGTAGCTCCGACGAATCCAAAATAATCATACAAAAAGAGCGCAGAGGTGAGGACGGGTGTCCAGGATGATGCCATCCCGCGCGACAGGGCGTGGATATCTTAACTGCATCAACCCCCTGGGGGACATGAGACAACCCAGCATTGAAGCTTTGTGAGAGCCAACACATTAACTCCGCGCAAAGCAATATCAGCAGCAACTTCGAGGTTAAAGTCTCCCCCCTTCGAAACCCACTCCAAAACTTGTCAGGCATACTTGTGTGGAGACAAAAGCTGCCGGCGCCCTTCGACCGCCCCGACGATGTTATCGTCGAGGCGAGCGACCTCGAGGAATACCTAAACATGTCGCCCTGAACTTCGGCGGCGCTTAACCCGTACCTCAACAACATGTCTCCCTGAACTTAGGGCGACATGTTGTTGAGGTATTCCTCGAGGTCGCTCGCCTCGACGAGAACATCGTCGGGGCGGTCGAAGGGCGTCTCGCGAACCAGTATCTCCTCGTAGTCCTCGTTCGAGACCTCGGGGCCAGAGACGTCGGTCTTGCCGCCTGCGTTCGTTTGTCGAACGAAAAAGACAAGCGAACGCGATAACGTCATGATCAGAAGACGTCAAGAGTGATGCGAGGATGGCGGTCTCGTTGAGGAAAGGGCTTTGAGCTTGACGGATCGGGGGGGTCCCTACCCTACATTTTGTATCGATCTAGTCTGAACGCAGAATGAGCTGTGTTGAGGATATGACAAACAAATACGGCCGGGTGGGAAAAGCTTGCCTGCGAACGGCGCGATGTGGGCGACGATGCTCTTCTTCGTGAAGTCCTTCTTCGGGACGGCCAGTATGGGTTCGGCGAAGCGGAACTGGCCCGTGGCGAAGTTAAACAGGTAGTTCCACAAGCTATACGAGGAACACAGCACGAGCACAGAAAGGAAGCTGTGAGAACACACGCTGCGCGATAGATGGTGGGTGGCCTGCGGCGAAGATTTTGGCAAAATTGCTGCAAGTTGGTTCCGTCGTGCGCGTCTGGTACACACAAAACAAAACAAGCACCGATGCGCACGCCTTCTCAACACGCCCTCCACAACATTAGTGGTCAGTGAGCCTCTAGCAGCATATGAGGCTGCATGGACAAGACCGTCTGTGGAATATCGAAGTGCACTGACGCACTCGCAACGGTGCTACGTTCATACGAAGGAGAGGGTATTCCCGTCGTGCAGTCAATCGCACCCGGAACGGTTGGCCAGTACCAGCGCCACAAAGCTCGACCAATCGTGTGTGTACCGCATACCACAGAGTTTGGGCGAAATAGTGAAGTTCAAAGCTTGGCTTGTTGAGCGCCGCTCGTGCAACTTCTACGCTGGCAATGGAAACACGTTGGCACCATGACGAGACGTGGGGTGGGGATTCTTCTTCGGGCTTTAAGGGTTTCATACTTCCAGCCTAGGGCATCCCGCACTCTCCCCTTCACATACCGTGTGCAGTCCACGAAATATTGAAACTGGAGCCGCAAACACTTGAAGTGGCGGTGTCGGTAACCTTCACGGCCAATGAAACTCTAGTGTGGACAAAGATCGAAGTGTCCACCTCCGGATCACAGTGCCGATGGGCATACTTGAACCTATGGATCCCAAACACACTTCGCCATTCGCCCAAGTCCGTACCAACCCAGTCTGGGTCTCCCTCCTGAGCTCCCACGTAGACGAGGGCGGCCGCCGCCAGGAAGACGTTGTTCTTCTCGTGACATGGCTGCCCGCCAGAGAAACGGGTCTTCCCTTGTCCAATGAAGGCGTAGCTGAACACCGAGAAGAGGGCAGCAACAATCCCGTTTGACGCTCTCTCTCCCCTTACCGGCCGTCGTGCCGGCTTGGCCCCGACCACCTACGGATACACGGCGGAGGGCGTGGGTCGGTGCAAGACGGGGGAGCAGCGGCGGAAGATTGATGGATATGTCAAGTCACAATTTTATTCTCTATATACCCGCCGCGAGAGGAGAGAGGGGGTGGGGTCGTATTGGGGTTGTGCACCCTCGCCATTCACGCGGGGAAAAACTGAAACCTAGCGAGAGGCAAACACCACAATATCAACACAAACAAATCCAGGACATCAATACCACGTGAAACGGGATGTGGACACACGCTTTTTCGGATGAACGGAACCACATCTCCTCACGAATACTACTGTGCATCACGTGTCGCACATGCGAGCCAACACCACGAAGACACTGACCGGGCGCTGCTGGTGTATGGGTGCCACTGTCGACATGAGGATGCCGAGAAGCGCCGCGCGTTCCATTTGCGACATGCCCGCTGCATTGATCGCCTGGTAGATTACTTGGCCGCTCATGCCCGAGGTAAGGGCCATGGCCTCACCTCCGCCGCCCGTTCCCCGCGGCTGTGAGGAAGCCCGCCCGATCTGGGTAAAGCTAGCAGAAGGTGTGCCAGCACCTGAGGCCGCCGGGGCTGGCGCTCCCTTGCATGAACCAGACCTTATGCCGTACCCTCCGGAAGATGCAGAGTGAGCGGAGGCGGTGGTGACCTGTCTCTGGGACGACAGCCTCCCACGGTCAGGCGAGGTGCTCCTCCTGAACGTAGGTCGAGAAGACCCGCCTCCTGCACGTTGTACGCGGTCGTCAGCGTCGCGCCGGAGAGACGGTGCTGGGTGGTCGTCGTGGGGCGTAAGGTGCTCGTAGATGCTGCAGCAGAGGATGCGCGGGAGGATACAACTCCCGCTCCCGCTCCAGCAGGAAGGGCGCCAGCTGCGTCCACACGGGGGTGCGAAGAAGCGGACGTCGACACTGACGACTGCGCTCGGGCAACTGCCTGGAGAGGGCGACGACGGTTACACACGCCACCGGCGCCGCGAGAGGACGACACCGAGGATACGCCGGCGAGGGAAGAACGCCCATCGCGGCCGGGATGCCATTGGCGCGCGACGAAGGCACGTCGGTAGCCGCAGCGCTGTCCTCGGTGACGGAGCGGTCGGTTACAGGGCGCGGGCTGTGGTCGATGTAGCGCAAAGGAGGACCTGGCCTCCTCCTCTTCGCCGGTGCGAGCAGGTCAGGGCTTGGGCTGTCTTCCTCGTTGGGGTCGAGGGTGCAAGATTCGTCGTCACTGGCCGCCGTGGGGTCGTACTCAGAGCCGGAGTCTTCGTAGCTTTCCCGGCCCGAATCCTGCCATGAAACGAGGTATCAGGGGAAATTAAACTTGTGGTCATGGCAAGTTTTTCAAAGAGGAAACCAAGCATTCAAAATTCAAAATCTCAGGAGCAGTGAAACTCGATGTTCGGACCAAACGACGGGCATATGGCATGGCATAGTTGCAGGATGTGTGTATGATGCGCACAAAAGGGCGCAGAAGAGAAAACGAGAGGGGACAGAACGAGCCTGGCGAAGAGGCGCCCGAAACTGGAGTAACCTGCATGGCTACGTAGTCAGGTGAGAATCAGCTGATGATCTCATGGTTGGAAAACAAACAAGGAACAACAACCACAACGTAACGGGGGGTTGAGCGTCCCTGGCAAGGCCGAGAAAAGGCCGTCGTAGCCAGGACACAGAAGAAGTCTTTTCGTGCGCGCCGGTATCAACGATGTACCAGATTTTCAGGCAAGGGCAGTATTGTCCGGTCGATGCACGTATGCTTGCATCTGCGCGCGGCTGTCCCCCGTTCTTTAGTGGCCTCAACACATTTTTTACCGAACGTTGGTTCTGGATCGCCATCGACATTTGCGTGTGTGTGTCGCGGGCACTGCTTTTTCTAATCATATCACTCACTTGCATAGTTCGCCCGGAGCGTTCGGACGTTTATGAGGTGAAGTACTTCCCTTATCTACGACCGTCGTCGAGGCGCGGGAAGGGCACCTGTGACGACTACCGTATATGACACAAGATTACTCACCCCCTGGACCGATTTTCAAAGCTCGATTACTCCACGACGAAGAGGGTTCATACACGAAATCATACATTTTCGAAAAGCTCTTGACGAGACGGTTTCAACGCCGCCGTTTGCGGCGCTGTGACTGTTCTGGCAGTCGAGAAATCGAGCTTCGAAAGTCGGTCAAGGGGGTGTGTTATCTTGTGTCATATACGGTATGAACAACTTAACATTTGAAAAAAAGGTGGGCCATGACACAAAACTCACAACAACGTTGAACGGCGTTTTTTTTTCGCGTCAAAACCGAAACGAATCTGCTGCGCCCTGGCAAACATGAGAACGTGATCGTCCTACGGCGGAAGAGAGGGGTGTGAGGACGCCACATGTTGCCCTGCATGAACTCACCTCCGATGCTGCACGGGAAATCTTCTTGGCCCCCTTCCCCTGCTTCGACGTGTACTTGTCTGTCGCCGCTCGACTACGTGGCCCGGACGTGCGGCGAACAGAGTGCCCACGTTCGACGTTGTGGCTGGCGGCAGAAAGGGACTGGCGAGCCGCAGCGGCAGACCATGCTTGGTTGCGACCAGATGAAAACATCATTGACGAAGGAGTGGGTGTGTGACAGAGGTAGGAGGTGTGGGTTCGTGGTGCGTTTGGAGAGTGTGACGGTGGGGGAGGATCGTGGCGGGTGGCGGACAGAGAAAAAAAGATGTCTGAACAGAGAAACTAACGGGCATACACACAACGGACGACGGGCAGTACCCGGAATGGTTCGACGTGGGCCAAGGCCTCCGACAGGGATGCAACCTGGACCCGCTGCTGTTCAACTTGTTCTTTGCCGCGATGCTCATGGTCGTCGTGGCCGAGTTCGACAAGGACCCCAAGGTGACGGCGGACATGGTCAAGATCGGGACGTAAGTGGAGTACACGGGCAAGAAGGGCAGGTCGGCGAGGAAGCAGACGACGGTGGTGACGGACGCGGAGGCCTTGTGGGCCATGCTCTACGCTGACGACGCGGCCATCGTCTCGCGCTCGCCGGAGAGTCTCG